AGCATTTTTACCTTTATAGTTTGATCATGTTACACTTGTCTAAGTCATTCTGCCAATTCCAAAGTCCTTAAAATCAGAGTTCATTTCTATTTCATCTCTTCCCTCTATTTAGGATCTAATGTCATTGTGTTCTCCACTTCCCTCCCTATTTCTCAATTTCCCACTTTGCTCTCCCTTTATACAAACACAGATGGCTGTACTTATTGCCTTAGAGGAGCCATGTGGCTGTAACATCACAAAAAACCTGTGAGTCTTTGCTTTAGTTTTGTGTTCCAAAAGCCCAAAGCCCTCAAGAGATTTGTGTGGACTTCAGATTTAGAGAAAATGCTTTTTAGATATAGTAGGAGAGGGGCTGGGCATGGTGGCTCATGCCTATAATCCCATCACTTTGGGAGGCTAAGGAGGAAGGAGTCCTTGAAGCCAGGAGTTCAAAACCAGCCTGGGCCAGAAAGTGGAGACCTTGTTTCTAATAAATAAATGAATAGATTTTTTAAATTAAAAAAAAAAAAGTACTTGTGCAAGACGGTGTGTGGCTGTAGTACCAGCTACATGCAAGGTTGAGGCAGGAAGGTCACTTGAACCCAGGAATTGGAGGATGCAGTGAGCTATAATTATGCTACTGCATTCCAGTCTGGGCAACAAGTGAGGCTCTGTCTCTAAAAAAAGAAAAAGAAAAAAAGCAGGAGAGTGCACACATCTCAGTGACAACCAGACAAGATGATGAAAAATGATACTGAAAATCAGATGTGTCAATGAAAAAAGCCAAACTCTGTAAAACATTTGAGGAGATTTATTCTGAGCCAAATATGAGTGGCCATGGTCCAAGGCACAGTCTCAAGAAGTCCTGAGAACATGTGCCTAATATGTTTGGATTACATCTTGGTTTTGTATGTTTGAGGGAAACGTTAGACATCAATCAATACACGTGAGGTACACACTGGATTGGTCTAGAAACGTGGAACAAAGCAGGGGTGGTGGCTTTCAGGTCATAGGTGGATTCAAAGAGTTTCTGATTGCAGTTGTTTGAAAGAGTTAAATTATTGTCCTGTAATCAGTAGAAAGGAGTATCTTGGTTAAGATAAGGAGTTGTATGATCAGAATATATAGATACAGGGAGAGGAACAACACACATTGGGGCTTGTTGGAGGGTGGGATGGGGGAGGGAGAGCATTGAGAAAAATAGCTAATGCATGCTGGGCTTAATACCTAGCTGATGGATTGGTAGGTGCCGCAAACTACTATGGCACACATTTACCTGCCTATGTAATAAGCCTGCACATCCTGCACATGTATCCCGGAACTTAAAATAAAAATAAAAATTAATAAGAAATAAAAAAGATAAGGGGTTGTAGAGACCAAGAATCTCATTATGTAGATGAAGTCTCCATAGATGATCATCCTTAGAGACAACAGATGAAAAATCTTTCTTATTTGGACCGTTAAAAGGTGCTAGACTCTCATTTAATACCTTCAGGGTTGGGAGGGCCTGGCAGGGGAAAAAGCCCTAGTTATGTTAACATAGATTATTTTCAGATGCAAATTTTCCCCCACTAAAGATAGGCTTCGCAGGGCCATTTCAAAATATAACAAAGAAATGTATTTGGGGGCCTGGCACAGTGGCTCATGCCTGTTATCTCAGCACTTTGGGAGGCCAAGGTGGGTGGATTACCTGAGCTCAGGAGTTCAAGATCAGCCTGGCCAATGTGGTGAAACCTCATCTCTACTAAAAATAAAAAATTAACTGAGTGTGGTGGCAAGCACCTGTAATCCCAGCTACTTGGGAGGCTGAGGCAGGAGAATCGCTTGAATCCGGGAGGGAGAGGTTGCAGTGAGCCAAGATCACACCATTGCACTCCAGACTGGGTGAAATTCCATCTCAAAAAAAAAAAAAAAAAAAAAAAAAACTCCCCCCAAAAAAAAAAAAAAAAAAAAAGAGGCTGGGCACGGTGGCTCACGCCTATAATCCCAGCACTTTGGGAGGCTGAGGCAGGCAGATCACGAGGTCACGAGATTGAGACCATCCTGGCCAACATGTTACAAATACAAAATTAGCTGGGCGTGGTGGTTGCCTGTAATCCCAGCTACTGGGGAGGCTGAGGCAGGATAATCGCTTGAACCCAGGAGGTGGAGGTTGCTCTCCAGCCTAGGCAACAAGAGTGAAACTCTGCCACTAAAAAAAAAAAAAAAAAAAAAAAAAAGAAGTATATCTGGGGTTAAAATATTTGTATTTCCTTCTTTATCTGTCATGTGATTTTATGCCAGAGTTAGGTTGGGAAGTAAGTTTTATTTATACGGGGTTAAATAAAACCCATCCTGTGGCCAGGTGCCATGGCTCATGCCTGTAATCCTAACACTTTGGGAGGCCAAGGTGGGAGGATTACTTGAGGTTAGGAGTTTGAGACCAGCCTGACCAACATGGGAAAACCCCGTCTTTACTAAAAATACAAAATTTAACCAGGCATGGTGGCCCATGCCGGTAATCCCAGCTACTCGGGAGGCTGAGGTGGGAGAATTGCTTGAACCCAGCAGGCAGAGGTTGCAGTGAGCTGAGATCGTGCCACCGCACTCCAGCCCGGGCAATAGAGTGAGACTTTGTCTCAAATAAACAAACAAACAAACAAACGAACCCATCTTGTTACTGGAAAGTGGTCTCAACCCAGACCCCAAGAGAGGGTTCTTGGACTTCACGCAATAAAGAATTAAGAATGAGTCCATAAAGCAAGTTTATTAGGAAGTAATGGGATAAAACAGTGGCTACTCCATAGGCAGAGCAACAGCTTAGGCTGCTCAATTTATAATTATTCACAGTTATAGTTATTTCTGGATTATATGCTAAAGAAGGGGTGGATTATTCATGAGTTTTCCAGGAAAGGAGCGGGCAATTCCTGGAACTGAGGGTTCCTCCTCTTTTTAGACCACGTAGGGTAACTTCCGGACAATGCCATAGCATTTGTAAACTGTAATGGTGCTGGTAAGAGTTTCCTTTAGCATGTTAATGCATTATAATTAGCATCTAATGAGTAGTAAGGACGACTAGAGGTCACTTTCACCACTATCTTGGTTTTGGTGGGTTTTGGCCGGCTTCTTTCCTGCAATCTGTTTTATCAGCAAAGTCTTTGTTACCTGTATCTTGTGCTGACCTCCTGAGACTTAGAATGCCTAACCTCCTGGGAATGCAGCCCAGTAGATCTCAGCCTCATTTTACCCCGCTCCTATTCAAGGTGGAGTTGCTCTGGTTTGAACACTTCTGACAATCTGATGAGATTTTATGGTTTGTAGGCTGTGACTCCTCACATCCCTTAGATAAGAATTTGGGGCCGGGTGTGGTGGCTCACTCCTGTAATCCCAGCACTTTGGGAGGGTGAGGCAGGTGGATAATGAGAGCAGGGGTTCAAGACCAGCTTCACCAACAAAGAGAAAGTTCGTCTCTACTAAAAATGCAAAAGTAGCCAGCGTGGTGGCGCATTCCTATAATCCAAGCTACTTCGGAGGCTGAGGCAGGAGAATCGCTGGAATCCGGGAGGGGGAGGTTGCGGTGAGCTGAGGTGCCGAAATCAAGCCATTGTACTCCAGCCTGGGCAACAAGAGCGAAACTCCGTCTAAAAAAAAAACTTGAGCAAGAGAGAAGACAGGTCAGAGTTTAGTCCTCAACCTCTCCTCAAACTTTCCACTTAGCACTATATGAACCATCTCGAACCTGGCTGGGAACTTACACAAAACCTGAGGAAAAGAAGATAGGGCCTATTGCCTGATACTAAGTTTTTGCCACACAATCAGAATAGAGTTTGAAAGAGAAAAGGTTGAATGACTGAAAAAGTAAAGGCGGCTACATTTCTTACACATCCTAGTTTGTAGATTGAGATGCCTATTTGTTACATTTGTTACTCAATAAACGTTTGCTGAATGAATAAAATAATTGAATAAATAAATGAAAAATAAAAATTTGAAACAGATCCATGTTTGCCCAGGGTGAATGTTTTTTGATGAGGGAGCCATAGGCAAGGTGGAGTATATTGATAAAAAGAGTTAAACTCTGAAAAATGTTTGAAGATATTTATTCTGAGCCAAATATGAGTGACCATGGCCTGTGACACAGCCCTCAGGAGATCCTGAGATCATGTACCCAAGGTGGTTGGGGTGCAGCTTGGTTTTATACACTTTGGGAGACATGAGATTTCAATCAAATACATTTAAGAAATACATTGATTTGGCCCAGAAAGGTGGGACAACTCGAAGCGGGGATTGGTGTGGGGAGAAATGGGTGCTTCCAGGTTATAGGCAGATTTAAAATTTTTCTACTTGGCAATTGGTTGAAAGAGTTATCAATAGAAAGGAATGTCTGGGTTGTCTTAAGAACTTGTGGAGACCAAAGTTTTATCATGCAGATGAAGCCTCCAGGAGCAGGCTTCCGAGAAAATAGATTGTAAATGTTTCTTACCATACTGAAGATCTGTGTTGACATTAACCAGAGAGGTATAATGAGGCTACTCGGACAGGGCCCTGCTTCCCTTCATGACCTGAACCAGTCTTTCAGAATTTGAGTGCCCTGACCTAGGAGAAAGTCCACTCCGATGGTTGGCGGGGGAGCTTAGAATTTTATTTTTGGTTTACATCTAAAAGAAGCACAAAGGTCTAGGCATCCAGAATCGTGGTTACTGGTGATCATGGACCTGCAGGTGATGGTAAATTCTCTCTTTTCGTTCCTGGTGTGTTTTCCTTGGGATCCTTTCTATGAGAAATGTAGGTAGGGTTTTATTTTTCTGGGTTCCTAGTGGTGAGGTGAGGTGCCTCAACAAGAAAAAGGACCAGTTTTAGCTTCAGGTCTATGTGAAAGCGGTTAACACTGGGCTTGGAATGGTAGATACTCAATGATTAAGGTTACTTCTTATTCTCGGTTCTTCTTTCCAAACCTAACTCGCCTAATCACTTCTAGGCCCCGCCCCTTCTGAGCCCCCCTCCTTCGGCCTGTACGATAGGCTCTTCCTCCATTTCCGGCTTCTGGGACTCGGGTGCACCACGGCTTCCGGTGTCATGGCTGTTTGAAGTCTCGGGAGTCGGTGAGGCGGCTGCAGGTCTCTCCCTGCGGAGCCGCTGCCTGGCTGGCGGGGATGTGACCGCGGGCCTGGCCGGCCTGCCGCAGGCGTCGCGTCAGCTCCCGAGTCCGTGCCCTTAGCCCACACCGATGGCGGGATCCGGCTGCGCCTGGGGCGCGGAGCCGCCGCGTTTTCTGGAGGCCTTCGGACGGCTGTGGCAGGTACAGAGCCGTCTGGGTAGCGGCTCCTCCGCCTCGGTGTATCGGGTTCGCTGCTGCGGCAACCCTGGCTCGCCCCCCGGCGCCCTCAAGCAGTTCTTGCCGCCAGGAACCACCGGGGCTGCGGCCTCGGCCGCCGAGTATGGTTTCCGCAAAGAGAGGGCGGCGCTGGAACAGTTGCAGGGTCACAGGAACATCGGTAATTGCCCCTGGCTCCTTTCTTTTCTTGCCTGGGTCACAGTCCGAGCACACTCCTCCTCTCGCTATCTGGGGTTCTGTCTTCCTTCCCTTCTGCGGGAGAAGCGGGTCTAGCCTTCTTTATCACCCGATCCAGGCCCCTTTCCCCTTTCACTGTATTACTGTCTGCGGTATAGTGGAATTGGTGGTCTGCTTTGCCAGGTGTCACACAGATGCTCAGTAAGTTCTGTCCTGCTTCGAGTCCCATCGGAGAGTGCCGCATTCATTAGTATACAGAAATATCTTTTCTAGTGAGAGGAGGCATGTCTTTGCTAGATTGTCGTGTCTTGTGTGGAAATTTTTGGATCTTTGCATACCAGTAGAAAATGGGAACTATGTCTGGGCCTTGTGACATCAATGCTGGTAACTCATATAGCTCACCTGTTATATATTTAGTACGGATTTGGAAGAAATGATTCACTATTTCATGGGAGCCCTTATAGAAGTGTGAAATTTAGGAACACTGTGCCTTTGCTCTCGTGAGACTGTTTCATGAATCAGATACTCAGAATGTAAGCTATGTAATGATCACTGATGATTGATCTGTGGAAAGGTTTCATTTCCATTACACGACAGAAAGCTTATCATTAGTTATGGCTTTGGTTATTAAAGAAAAGTGAGTTTTTTTATAATACCATTTTGGAGAAGAATTAACACTAGTGCTACTTTTTTTAGTTTACTAAATGGTCTGTTACTATAACTTTGGTACTGAAAAGGGAAAATTTTTGCAAGCCTAAGAACTTGCTGAATCTCTGCAAGATTAGTTGAAATTTCATCCGGAAAGTCTCAATCTCTTCGTTAGTATTTAGATTATAGATAGCTGTTTGTTTTTCTGTTTTAATTTTTTTTGAGACAAGTTCACTCTGTCACCCAGGCTGGAGTACAATGGCGAGATCACAGTTCACTTCACCCTCCAATTCCTCCTAAAGCCATCCTCCTGCCTTAGCCTCCCAAGTAGCTGGGAGTACAGGCACGTAGCACCACGCCTGACTAATTTTTTGTAGAGAGGAGGTTCCCCTTTGTTACCCAGGCTGGTCTCCAAACTCCTGGGCTCAAGCAGTCCTCCTGCCTCGGTCTCCCAGAATGCTGGGATCGTGGGCATGAGCCACTGTGACAGACCTAGACTGCTATTTTGGATGAAGAAGCAATCTTTAGTTTGGTTTTTGCACATTGTGACATTCCTTTTAAAAGAGTTGCTTAATATTTGGATTTTTACTTTTTAAAATTTTTTTAAAAGGACCTCATGATGCAACAATAAGTTTTATTTATTTATATTTTGGATTTTTACTTTTAATCATTTTTGGTTGGCACTCCAAGTTCATGTGCATCACCACTGAGTACTCGGTAAACACAAATTGAATAATTGTACTGTATGTAGTATCTGTGAATGGTAATCAGCTATTGTAGGCTCTCTCATCTTATTTTTATTAAAATAACCCAATTGCCAAAAGATCTTATTCATGGGAAAAATAAATTACAGTGGAAGCTTGCTGAGCAAAGTTATCCTTATCTAGACTATCGCAAGTTTGTACTGCAGTTACCTACTTTAATAGTGACTTACTCTGAATCTGATTTTTAAAGTATGATAATTTCTTTTTCTAGTGACTTTGTATGGAGTGTTTACAATCCACTTTTCTCCAAATGTGCCATCACGCTGTCTGTTGCTTGAACTCCTGGATGTCAGTGTTTCGGAATTGCTCTTATATTCCAGTCACCAGGGTTGTTCCATGTGGATGATACAGCATTGTGCCCGAGATGTTTTGGAGGCCCTTGCTTTTCTTCATCATGAGGGCTATGTCCATGCAGACCTCAAGCCACGTAACATATTGTGGAGTGCAGAGAATGAATGTTTTAAACTCATTGACTTTGGGCTTAGCTTCAAAGAAGGCAATCAGGTAAGAAATAACCTTTTCTTTTCTCTCGCAGTTTAAAATGTAGTGGTCGAAGCCAAATATTTTTAAATGACAAGGGTAGTTTAGTAGGGACTTACAGGTCATTTTAATCTAAAATACTGAAATGCCAGGGGATGCAGCAAATCAAAAGAATTTCAGTGCCACCGTGTAAAAAAAAGACATAATGTTTGGGTCAGGTAGGAGGAGCCAGTGAAGCACGAGAGCTCTGGAATATTATAGATACTTAACCTACATAGAATGGTTTTCTAAATTTTATGCGTGTTTGGCTAATTGCTGAGTTACTATTCCTGGTCCCTTCAGTGTTGGGGCTGTAGCTCGTGGCAGAATGCATGGGACAGTTCTGCCAAATCCTCCTTTCTCCATGGTTTATTGTTTCTTTGCAAAGTGTCCTTATTATCAGCAGTGCCTAATAGGTAAGAGACGATCCAAAGAAGACTTCTTTATGGAAATGTACAGCTTGCCTCTGAGAATTGCCCAGTTAATGAACCAAGGAATTATGGTAACCAACGACTAAAAATTTTTAACATTTAGCTTGGCAGTGGGTTTACTGCACTGTTAGGGAAGTAAATTCACCGTAGAGATGGATAGAAAGGGAGCAGCTTTTTTATTGGTTGTAATATTTACTCATTTTTTTTAGGATGTAAAGTATATTCAGACAGACGGGTATCGGGCTCCAGAAGCAGAACTGCAAAATTGCTTGGCCCAGGCTGGCCTGCAGAGTGATACAGAGTGTACCTCAGCTGTTGATCTGTGGAGCCTAGGAATCATTTTACTGGAAATGTTCTCAGGAATGAAACTGAAACATACAGTCAGATCTCAGGAATGGAAGGTAGACTTCGCCAGTGCTTTGCTTTGGGGTCCTTACTTTCAATTTAAGAGTATATAATTTATGATGATTCTTTTTTTTTTCTTTTGAGATGGAGTTTCACTCTTTCGCCCAGGCTGGAGTGCAGTGGCGCAATCTCAGCTCACTGCAACCTCCGCCTTCCGGTTTCAAGCAATTCTCCTGCCTCAGCTTCCTGAGTAGCTGGGATTACAGATGCCAGCCACCTCGCCCAGCTGATTTTTGTATTTTTAGTAGACACGGGGTTTCACCATGTTGGCCAGGCTGGTCTCGAACTCCTGACCTCATGATGCGCCCGCCTGAGCCTCCCCAAGTGCTGGGATTACAGGCATGAGCTACCGCGCCTGGCCAATTTATGATGATTCTTTTAGAGAACTCTTGATTGCTGTCTGTTGTCGATACTCCTCTTTTTCTATTTATGATACTTGTATGCCACTACCAACTCCTACAGCTATCAATGTGCTAGTGAGTATTGCATTCTTATTGTTCCTAGCCTGTGGCTTGGCATATAGTAAGTACGCGATAAAATGTTTGAATGAATGTATTTTCTTGAAGAAGCAAAAGTGGTTTCTTTTGTTTACTAACAGTAATATTAAGTTCTAAAGTGTTACTAACACAACCATAGCTTATAAGTTAAATGATAATGTTTATAGATTATCTTAACTCCTTTGCAGTTAAAAAAATTATTTTTACTGGGCATGGTGCCTCACACCTGTAATCCCAGCACTTTTGGAGGCTGAGGTGGGAGGCTTATTTGAGACCAGCCCAGGCAAAGTAGTGAGACCCTGGTCTGTAGTTAAAAAAAAAAAAAAGTATAAAAGATACTTTAATACTTGTTTAATATCAAGACCAATAATCATTCCAAAGCATTGTATTTATTAAACCTCAAAAAATTAACTGGGTGTGGTGGCACACACCTGTAGTCCCAGCTACTCAGGAGACCGAGGCAGGAAGATCACTTAAATAGTAGCCTAAAGGATACTGATATTATCATAACATTAAAGCCCCACAATACCTTTGAAAACATACTGTAGTTAATTCCTAATTTATAAACGCACAAAAAGTTCATTCAAATATTAGAGGTTTGGAACTTAGATATTAAGCAACAAGTTTTTGATACTAAGCAACAAGTGTTTTTTTGAGCAACTAATACATACTATATAGGTATTATAACTTATAGTTTTGTTTCTTTTAAACACCTAGACACTGATTTCTGTTGTAGCATTTCCTGGAAGGGATATTTTAATAGCCCAATGTATATACCTGATGCTTGTATGGGTAAAAATTGCTTTCTTGGGAATAAAATCAGTATCATTCTTTATTATTGGTACCCCAAACAATCAAGAGTCTAAGTATTCTTTCTTAGTGCTAATCCAGACATAGATCAGTTATTTGAATGAGCTTTGACTGTCTTTGAGCCTTTTGTACTATATCTGCTTGGCTTAGAGCTTATCAGAACTAGATCACATTCAAATTTGTGTGAAATTTAGAGGGGTGATGTGCAGTAATGGGATCTCCAATATATGCCTCTAGATAAAACATTATTTTTCTGTTTTATCGCTTTCTATGGAGGCAGAATTGCCAACTGATTATGAGCATGGGCTCTAAAGTCAAACTACTAGGGTTTGTATCTTGCCTCCACAAAGGTCTTACTAAGTTATTTATTTAGGTTCACTAAGCCATGGTTTGCTTTCTTTAAAATAAGGATAATAATGGCATTTATCTCATAAGACTATTGAGGTTAATAAAGAAATGATACTTTTAGCAAGCAGCTCATGGTAAGTATTTAATAAATTTTACTGATAATGATAGTACTGATAGTGATAGTATCAGTTCTTTTAACTCGTGTACACAGTTCTAAATTTTGAGTTAGCATAGTGTTCAAGGAGAAAATATATTCCTTAAAGATTTAGAGAATGAGTAATATGACAAATAAGATGTTTTAATACTGCATCATATTCTCTTTGATAGTTTATTTCTGTCTGAAAACCAATTGAAGACTCATCACGGAGATACTCTGAGTCACCTATTATACGTTCATTTTTGCATTAAACTACATTCCTATGTGGTTGCTTTGGTACTTATTTTTTATTCTTTCGTCTAGTAGACGTTCACAGAGTGCTAGGTGCTGAAAATGAAGAAAAAATGTTCTTCTCTAGAAGTGTATAATTATGTTTATTATTTCTTCTGTTAAGATTGTAGGATCTTGCTGGGCACGATGGTTCACACTTATAGTCCCAGCATTTTGGGAGGCCACGGTGGGCAGATCACTTGAGCCCAAGAGTTTGAGACCAGCCTGGGCAACATGGTGAAACCCCATATCTACAAAAAATACAAACAATTAGCTGGATGTGATGGCACACACGTGTATTTCTAGCTACGCAGGAGGCTGAGACAGGAGAATCACTTAAATCTGGGCGGCAGAGGTTGCAGTGAGCTGAGATTGCGTCACTGCACTCCAGCCTGGGTGGCAGAGCAAGACCCTGTCTCCAAAAAAAGAAAAAAAAAAGATTGTAGGCTCTCAGAAGATAGTGTTTTCTGTTGCATTTTATTCTCAAATAGTGCTATATGCCTAGTACTCAATATACAGACTGAATAACCAAAAGGAAGACTTTTCTCCCTTTTTTAAGGCAAACAGTTCTGCTATTATTGATCACATATTTGCCAGTAAAGCAGTGGTGAATGCCGCGATTCCAGCCTATCACCTAAGAGACCTTATCAAAAGGTATGTTACACATGCTGTAAACTTGCTTTGCATACATGTACTATGTGAAATGGTATGTCTTTTTTTTTTTTCTGAACAGATTTATATTATTTCTAGTTTGCTTGATCCATGTAGGGGTTTTGTTCCCCTAGAAATAAGTCTATGCAGGCTAGCTTCCTATAAGGAACATAAGTAATCAAATAGTTTCACCAAATTTATTTTCAAAGGAATGTTCTTTTGCTCATAGTATCGGATATTAAGCTTTTCCTGGCAGCTGCCTTTTCACTGGAAGATAGATACTGAGCCACTATACCTTTAGCCTCTCATAGCCCTAGCAGTTTTATATACTTGATGGTAAGCAGGTTTTTAAAGAGAATCTTTATTAACTAAAGATTGAGTTTGCTTTTGGACTACTCCCCTCCCCCTAAAAAAAAGACCCAAAAACCATTTTGAATAAGATAGTTTTTAATTATACTTTAAATAATTACTCTTGACAGTGGTCTGGGGACAGATACAGTTTTTCTGATGTCTGAATAGATCCAAATACAATAGATATTTTGAAAATACAAATGTGTACAGTCGTGTCATTTAACAATAGGTATCTGTCGTGAGAAATATGTCATTAGGTGATTTTGCCATGCTAACATCATAGAGTACCTACATAAACGTAAATGATTCAGATTTCTGCCCACACCTGGGCTATATGGCAGAGTCTATTGCTGTTAGGCTAAAACCTATATAGCATGTTACTGTACCAAATACTATGGATAGTTGTAATACAATGGTAAGTATTGTGTCTAAACATAGAAAAGGTACACTAAAAATATAGTATAAAAGATTAAAAATGGTATACCTTATAGGGCACTTAACTATGAATGGAGCTTGCAGGACTACAGTTCCTCTGGGTGATTCAGTGAGTGAGTGGTGAGTGAATGTGAAGGCCTAGGACATTACTGTACACTATAAGACTAAGGGTAAAACTGTGTACTTAGCCTACACTAAATTTATTTTAAAAATTTTTTTTTTTCTTTTTTTTTTTTTCTGAGAGTCTCACTCCGTCACCCAAACTGGAGTGCAGTGGCACAGTCTTGGCTCCCTGCAACCTCTGCCTCCCAGATTCAAGCGATTCTTGTGCCTCAGCCTTCCGAATAGCTGGAAGTACAAGTGCACGCCACCATGCCCAGCTAATTTTCGTATTTTTAGTAGAGACAGGGTTTCACCATGTTGGCTAGGTTGGTCTCGAACTCCTACCTCAAGTGATCTGCCTGCCTCAGCCTCCCAAAGTGCTGAGATTACAGGTGTGTGCCACTGCTTCTGGCCAAAATTTGTTTTCTTCTATAATAAGTCAGCTTAACAGCTTAACTGTAACTTTTTTACTTTATAAACTTTAATTTTTCTTTATCTTATTTACTTTTAAATTTTTTTTGCTGAAAACTGAGACATAAGCACACCTTAGCCTAGACCTACACAGGGTCAGGATCATCAATATCATTGTCTTCCACTTCCACATATTGTCTTACTGAAATGTCTGCAGGGGCAGTAACATGCATAGAGCTGCCATCTCCTATGTTAACAATGCCTTGTTTTGGAATACCTCACAAAGGACCTGCCTGAGACTATTTTACAGTTAACTTTTTGGGGGAGGGGGTACACTTTAAAATAGGAATAAAAAAAAATAGTTACAAATACATAAGCCAGTAGCACCTTTGTATTGTCATTATCAAGTACAGTAGTTTTGTTTACATCTGTGTCCTGCTGCAACACATTACTCACCTGCATTACCACAAGCATGTGAGTGATATGTTGCGATAGGGGATTATGATAGCTATGATGTCACTAGGGGATAGAAATTTTTCAGCCCAGTATGATTTTATGAGATCACTGTCGTATATGTGGTCCATTGTTGACCAAAACGTCATTAGGCAGTGTATGACTGTATTATTAAATAGGAGGCTTTTCAGATTTCTAGACTATGGACCGGAAATGAATAAAATAATTAGTACATCAGAAAAGTATGGATCCCTTGTTTGAGTTAGAGTATTATAGTTTCCTTTGAATATTGGTCCTATAAACCTTAATAATTGGCCCTATAAACCTTTAAATTAGTTTTATTAACTCTTTACTTTGAAATAGTTACAGACTCACAGGACTTTGCAAAAATGTTACAGAGAGGTCCTTACCATTTACCCAGTTTCCCGCCGTGGTAATTATTTACATAACTGTAGTATACACAGTATCAAAACCAGTAAGTTGAAATAGGTATAATCCACAGGATTTATTCCGATTTCACCAATTTTACGCATACTTATTTGTGTGTGTATTTTTCAAATTAGTTTTAAATAGCTGTTAGTATCTGATTGATATGAGATATTATAAATTGCGTTTTACATTGAAGAGAAGGGAGTGAAAAATTATAAAATGGATTCTAGCATGGAAGTTAAATCATCTAAATTATAGTATTGACTTTTTTATTTTTATTATTTTTTAAATAATAGCTCCCCCCCATTTTACATAGAATACTAAATTTGGAAACTATAGAAAGTCATGGTGAGGAAAATAAAAATTATAAACCCACATTCTAGTGTTAGTACTTTGGTATATTTCCTTCCACTATTTTTCTTTTTTTTTTTTTGAGATGGAGTCTCGCTCTGTCGCCCAGGCTGGAGTGCAGGGGCCCGATCCCAGCTCACTGCAAGCTCCGCCTCCCGG